TGCTAACCGGTTTGTCGGTTCGGTTATCATCTCGTAGGCGCAGAGGTGCACTTGTTATGCGGTAACGGCAGGTAAGTTTGACAGTTCTATTTTCAGATCGACGTTGCCGCATATATATATAATACTACTAATTATATGGATATGTATATGGCGAGGAAAATAAATGATTTCAATACAACATACGATCTATTTATTATTTACAACAATGTACCAATGTTACACAAAACGTACCACATCGTGTTTTATTTTAGTCGCTTATCACACAATTTACAAAACGTTGCTCATTCGCTCGCCTTAAGTTCAGCTCGTTAAATGGACAGCATTTGGAACTCGTTCTCAACAACATTCGCGGTCACTTCATACTTTCCGGACGAAAGAGAATATGAATGAGAAATTGAGAAACAAGAGAGCCTCTTTTTACCTCCTAATTTTAGAAATTTATTCCGTCATACTGTTCGTGATAAGAGTGCTCTCCTTGCTTCGCGTTTTGATCTTTCATTTTATTTTTCAAAAATTTCCGTGTTCGTGCTATAAGTTATAATTTGAGAGTACTCTTTTCAAGCTTTTGGTGACTTATTTACATTCATTTTTTGATTGTAGTCTTCCCATAAAACTTGTTCAAATATACGTGACTGTTACTAAAAGATCTCAGCTGCTTTAAAACGATTTCTTCTCGAATTTCGATCGGCTGATTGAAATTAATAACTTAAACGACTAAGTAGAAAAGGTATCAAAGAGGGGTGAAAAGCGTCGGTACGCCATCGTTAAAGAAATGAAAAAATACTTTTGACCCCCTTATTCGACTGTACCCTTTCCGTTTGTGTGAAATAAAACTTTCAGTAAAACGTCTTACGATCGATTGACCAGTAAAATCTTTAAAATCCTCTTAAATTCGAAAAACGCCACAAGAATATGGAACTTGTATAGTTATGTTTCTCTAGTAAGGAATAAAACTCTAAAATATCGGCTTGCTACCGTAACGAATGGACGTCAGGGGATTCGTACTCGGCCACTAAAATCTCGCCAGCGAGAAAGAAAGATAGTTTAACACTTCCAAATGCACGATATTAATTCGGTAGATGAGAATAACGCTTCCTTTTATCACGAGTATGCGAGATGGCGAGCATGGACAGCCGAAAAGGTGGACGGATGGCTGCAGCGATAAGAGGTTGCTTCCATTTGTTTTCTCTTCTTTTTAAGTTAAGAACGAGTGGACGATTTACCTTGCGGATTAGAATTCGAACCCTGCCTCACCATATTTTTGATTGCACTTCACCGACCGAATACCGCAACGCGTTCCACGGAGTTCCAAAGTAAAGGATCACGAAATACTCTTTCTACTTTACAATTTTCTTTTTTTTTAAATCTACCTTTTCTTTTTTAAGTTTATGTTTGTAAATTCGCAACTTGGCACTGTGTTAAAACGAAAGGTTGTACGCGATGGTCTCCTTTCTGTTATAAATAAAATTGTCAGTTTTCGACAGGAACAGATCACTGAACTAACGAGTCTCGACGTCGACGAGCGGATCTTCCTCGTGATCCTTCGTAAATTGTCATTTCCGAACACGCGTGCGATATCGATAGCGTTTCGTCGGTTAGTGTATGCGTAAAATTACACATAAATAACGTCTATTTATATACCTACACGAATGTACGCACCGAATTTGCACACGCGATTTCGCCTGCGCAATGGACAAGTCGCGTGTACGTGCAACACGCATACAAATATCTAGGCGTGAACACGGTCGAACGTGCACGCATACATAGAGCGTTTTTAGAAATCTATAACACCTCGAATCGATGTTGCAAAAACATTGTTTCCTCGGAAAACGAACATCCCGAGTAGACATTGAAATCAAACAGCCTATAAACAGGCCAGGGTTAGATAAAGCGTTAAGATTTGTTCCATCGAAAAGTTATCTCTGTATTTGACGTTTCTTCTCGGTATCAAAAGCAACTCGACGTCTACGGAGACTGAAAAGTTTACGAAGATTCGCGTGATCGATTCGGGCCGTTAGAGACCTGTCTCAACCCTCGGTACAAATACGTTTTTATATAAGTGTTCAAAAAGTACGCTGTATAAATTCCACCTCGTACTCTTTGGTCACGATGCATACCTTACAACAAAAGTAACTCGATAACATACAATAAATCGTATCTTTGTTTGGCACATTTCGTCAATTATAGGATCCGTACGGTATACCTATACACTTAGGTACACACACGCTTGCGTACTTGTCATCGAGTATACGCGTATTTACGTATAAATAAATATACATAATATAATATATATTATATTACATATACCAACTTGCTTTAGTCTCTAATAGTCATAGAATACGTACAAATATTTTATCGGAGTAACGATAGCATGTACTTTTTTGTTACATGTTATATTTCTCTACGGGATATCCAACGAGTTTCCGTGCAAACTTTCTAAGCCTTCTAGAGTCACGAATCGGCTCAAGTATTTTATAGAAATATGCTTACGAAAATGATACCGTATTTTAAAAGCTCTGGCGTTGGGGAATTGTGTTTTGTTCGATAGAAAATTGTCCACATTCTGTGTAAAGTTGTCGTAACAAGTAGGTTTACGTAACGTTCTCGTCTTATTTGCATCCATAGAATATACCTACCGGCAAAGTTGTCTCGGAAACTTGCCAGATATTCTGTATATTATATATATATATATATGTATACGCATCTACATTTACCTTTACTTTCCGTATTATTTTAACCATTAAGTGCGTTGTCGATCCTATCTAACCCTAAAAAAATTATAAGAGGAACGCAACAATCTGTTATCTTTAATATATATATATATATATGTATGTATATTAACGTTTGTGTCGTTAAAACGTCACGCGCTTCGCCGTACAGGGAATAGGCTTGGCAAGCGTGGGAGTTGCACTCTCGTGAGCTTGTATATATATATATATGTATATATCTTTCACGATCATCTCTTTGATCCATTCCTCGATGCACCAGGCCGAGAACTCGTTAAACCGGAGAAATGTTCGAGGGTTTCGTAGTTTCTCGCGTAATTGGAAAGTCGAGAGTGACCGTCGCGCGTCGTCGGGAAATCGAGGGACAGACGAAGGAAATCGCGAGAGAGTTCGACTGCGTAAACCGAGGAGCGTACAAGAGTAAAAATGCGTGTCTCTGGTCTGTACGATCGCGATCGCGGGATGGAGTGTGACGTGGTCGTGGGAACGGTGTTCGAAACCGTACGAAACGGCCTTCTTCAAAGACCAGATCGTCGTCAGTCGTATCGTCGAAAGCGCAACTCCGTGGACCCATTCAGAATATTCCGGCCCTCGGTCGGAATTTTAATAATATCTTTGATAGGACATTTGTTTCACTTTATCTCCTTTAAATAAATATATCCACGAACAAGGCACTGCTCGACGGAGAGGTCGCGCGAGAAAACGAACCGCGTGAACTTTATCAACCCCTTGCCGTATACGATATCGTCTCGTTTGGGACCGCGGGTGTCCTAGTCACGCGTCAAGGGGTTAAATGGCCATCGAGGTTCATCGAGCCGTTTCCTATCGCGTAACGTCGATTAAAAAGTGGTCGGGATACGTTTTAGAATATACCTGCGAGTAGAACGCGCGTCGAGCTACTCTGTCGAAACCTTGTCCTCTCTTCTCTTTTCAAAAGCAACAACGACGATCTTGGAGAAGAGCTTCCAAAATCGAAATTCAAGGGAGCTTCGCTGGTCGTTTTTCCTATCTTTGTTCGATAACGTTGGAAAGAAGAAAGAACCCTTGGTCGTGCTTTCATTGTTCACGTGACAGAGAAGTAAATCGAGTAAAAATATTTTATACTATGCGCATACCGTTGCGTCGTTTCATTCACCGCGGTTCGTTCGAAAATAAGCTTGACTCGAATGCATGTTCTCTTGAAAATGAAACCTTGGCGGTCCGGTCTGTTTAATTAAACGAATGCCCGCGATTATCCCCAAGACCAAATTTCCGTCCTTTTATATTTACGTTCTGACCGAAAATCTTTCGACGTATCGCGTATACCTACGATTTCTTCCAATTTTACTTCCGATTGTTCGTTTCAGGCGACACCCTCGTCGAAAGAGTTAACACCAACATGGACGAGAAATTTTGTCGTTAATTTCGCGTGGAATTTTGTTTCGGAACGAATACGGATTGACGTCGCGTCACGGAGAGCGTTTCGCCCACGGGCAGGTCGACGTGCGTTATAAAGGGAAGCACTTGGTCCGTTTCTGCGTAACGGCTGATCGGCAGTCGACCTTAGAACCTAGGGTGAAAGTCTCCGGCTTGACAATGTCCTCGACGGAAATCTTTCCGAGTCGCTTTTTCACTCGGAAAGGCGTTCTCGGGGATATTATCTCGTAGACATCGCTCGTTCTACTTTGAACGTGAACGTTACCTTTCGAACAGGTCACCTTTTGATCTATGGGAATGGTAATGTCAACTTCCGTGCAGTGATTCTGATTCATCTGTTTCGGGATATCTTTCTCTGGATCGTCGTTGCGCTCCTTTTCGTTGGTCTCCTTGGAAGGAGTGTTGAACACGTCCGACGAGTAGCTCTTCGAGTCGCAAATCAACGCGAAATCTGCGTAATCTACCATTTCTCCAGCCTTCTCCAAATTTCTAGCAGAGGCCAGCGAGATGGCCCTAGCCTCCGGCCTGTGAGGTTTCTCCTCGTCCACAAAGTCCAACGAGAGACATTTCTTCTCGAACAGAGCTGGCCCGGGAACCTTCTTGTCGGACCCATTCGCTTTCGTCTTCTTCTCGTTCTCTTGCTTTCCGTCTAAACATCCCTCTTCCGTCTTTTCCAACGAATCGAGTACTCTGGACGGACGACGAATGCTATTTTCCCGCTCGACGGAGAGACAGAACTCCTTATCGGTTAACAAAATACGTTTCGGGTGTCGGGCAGGTTTCGCCTCCAGTTCGAGGTCCTTCTCCCACGACGGAGTTCTCAATTGACTTTTCACCTTTCGCAACTCCGTCAACAGGTCCATGGTCTCCTGAGAGGGTTCGTGGAAGATTCGTCTTTTAAGACGTCTTATGGACGCGTTCGAATCCAATTCCTGATCGCTGTGATGATCGACACCTTGCTGCTTCTTGAGCACGGATCTTACCGTGCCTCCACGGACGGGTTCGCTCTTCTTGTCGACCAACGATTCCGTTTCAACCGTCGCTGAAATCGCTCGTGTCGTTTCGTTCGTCTTCCTATCATCGGAGTCTTCGTTGCGAGCACTCACCCTCGATAGCTCTTGTTGCCTGGCGATCGCGCTTTGAACGCAACCTCGTGTACGCTTCTTGAAATCCGCGTACGTTTCCACGGGTACCTCGTGGTGTTTAAATATATCCTGGAGCTGCTTAAACGTCTCTTTGGTGTAACCCTGAGCTCCGCGGTGAGCCAAGGAATCGACGGACGACGCCTCCCTCGTACCGTCGATCCGATCTTTGTCGTGGTAACCGAAACATGCGAGAGAACGATCTTTCGACAGAAGGTTGTCCGACGAGATACCTCGTCTCTCGAATTGCGCCTGTTTCGTCGATTTATCCGCTATGTCCGCGTCCTTTCCGTTTCTCTCCAATATATCCTCGTAGGTTTGTCTCCTCGTTTTCGTCGGTGAATAAACATTCTTCTCCGGAGAGTCGAGCTGCGAATCGTCCGAACGATCCGGTAAGACGGTAGAAATTGGACGTTTCGTTGGGGAATTGGCAATGCTGTCGACGCTTGGTTTTTTATCTTGAGAGGTCTGAACAACTTTACGTCGAGTCGGTGTCGTTGGTGTGGTCGCACCTTTCGTCAAGTACCACTTTTTCTTGGGCGAATTGCCCCAACTGTTTGGTTCCTTGTCCGAGCCGAAGCTGCTGGCGTTGGAAAATATAATCTCTTCGCTGGTCGTGACGCGACACTTGAGCAATTCGGCACCGTTCGCGAATCGTTCTTTCGTTTCTGGCTTCGATGTTTCGTCCGCGATGGTTTCCAACGGTAAAGAGCACGGGCCCGAATCCAACACGTCGTCCAAAGAGGCCCCGCGCAGCGGATCTCGATTATCTTTCGTTTGCACGCTCGATTCCAAATCTTCCGTCTCGAACGAATACATCTTGAGGAGATGACCCTTGCCGGAACGTCTCCTCTCGGCCGCGAACGATTCAACGGTCGTCAGAGCCCTGCGTTCTTCCGGTTTCTTCGCCTCGGGGATCTTGTTCGTTGGTTCGTCTTTGCACGGTTCGTTTTTGACCGCGTTCTTCTGCTTGTAACGCGGAATGTCGAAAATGAACTTGTCCAAAGTTTTCGACGAACCGATTTTCTCCAAGAAAGGCCTCTCGACGGCTCTGCTGGGCCCGATTTTCTCCAAGTACGGCTTGCCTATTATCCTTGGCGCTATCTTCGCTAAGAAGGGCTTGTCCTCCGTTTTCGATATACCGATCTTCTTCAGAAACGGTCGTTTTTTATCTTTGTCTTGGGTACGCGCGTTCTCGAACGATCGATCGCTGAGACGGTCGTTGCTGTAATTGGAGGAGTTGTCGCTGCTCTTTGATCGTGCTCTCTTGTTTCTCGGGTGCGGCGTCAACGGAGTTCTCGGTGTCAGGGACGGACTGACTTCCTGATTGGGGCAAGTTTCGTCCAGCAAAGCGATGGCCTCTCTCAGATCCATGTAGGCCTTTCTGGGGATAGCGGTGATGGAAGAAGGCGGACGCGGAAGCTCGCTGTCGAGGCTGCTGTTTCTGGTGGAGATCATGTCTGGCTTGCTGTTGACTTCCGCGTCGGTGTACAAGTAGGAGGGATACGAGCTCCGATCGCCCGTAGGCCCTGGCGAGGAGTCTATGGTAGGGTAATCCTCCAAGTACCAGGGTGTGACGCCGAGGTCCTCCGGCCTGGCTGCGGAAATGTACGGTGGAATCGCCGGGTTCTTGCCGATGGCACCTTTGCCGCTGGAAGACGTCGACTGCTGGTCCAGTTGCGTGACACTCGACGACGTCGTTCCCGCGACGCTCGCCGCTATGTCGCTCGGCGTACTGGTCACCGCTCTACGGTATCTGGTGCATGTGGCGAAAAACGGCGGAGCCGGTCTCGCTGTCTCTACAATCACGCGACCTTGAGCGCATGGTACCATCGGCTCACCGTCCACCGGGGCTTCCTCCGGCGTCAGCGGCAATGCCGCCCCACGACCGAACTCGATAAACCACAGCTCGTCCCTCAACTCGCTTTCTCACTTCTTTTCGTTCATGTCTTTGTTGAGATAGTGTAGCACGTAGTGCAACACCAAGTCGTAGCAGTACTTGTACTCGGTCTAAAGAGAACACAGCGTAAGGGAAACGATCGAGAGTTGCTCCGATAGGATAAAAACGATTACCATCGCCTACGTACCATGTTCTCCACGAGCTGAGGCCTATGTCTGCGTACAGTTTTAACCGCTTGGAATATATCCACTTCGCCGTGCTGTATCACCTGTTCTATACACGCGTTCGCGGCGCAATAAACACCGCACCGACTTCTACCGTCGGGAGAGACCACGGCGACTGGCCCGTAATCCGTTCGTTGCCTCCATCTCTCGACCATGTTCATCAGCTCCACCAGGCTGTTGGTCGACGTAGGAACTTTGTGTCCCATCGGCCAGCAAGTCAGCTGAAACAGCTGGACGGTCTTGGGTGGAGCTTTCACACCCGCCATCAGCTCGGTCAGCGACACGATCTTTTTGTTTATTCTAAAAATCTGCAAAAGTAACCCAATAATCATTTTTTACTGATCTACGAAAGAACGACGAGAGCGGTATATGTATATGTATATATAGAACTCGCGACGCTTCTCACCCAAGTCTTGATGTTCGTATAGTGATTGTGGCTGATGTGATCAATCGTAAATACGGGACCGTATTTCTTAGAGTGCTTCCCCTCGGGCCAAAAACTTGGGAAATTCGTGGAGCCCGGGGGTGGCACACATAACACCACTACAGCTGCGCACTCGTAGTCGTAAACCAACGACCAGAACTCACCGCACGTGTGCCGAAGAGGCCATTCCGTTACGATATATTCCCTTGGCTTCGTGTAGCCCTGTTGAAAACGTACTTTTAGAATGGACACCTCGCTACGAGACCGTGGGACATAAACAGCGACGTGAGCGAGCAGCGCAAGAGCTAAAAGTCTACCGTTTCTACAATAATACCAAAAATTACGACTTTGAATCGCGCGCGAGATGTAACATTTTCGATTAGGTAGTCGTGTAAAGAGTAGATTTACAATAGTACTCACGTCCACGAACACGGCGTTTATGTAGTCCGTGAAACTGTTCCCCTGGAAACTGGTGAGGTACGGACGAAAATTGTCGGCTAAACCATTAAAGTATTAATTCGTGAGTAAAGATACGATTGGATAGGATTGAGTAGTACCGATAAAGTAGCACCGTAAACTTTACGCAACGGTACGAATATCCATTTTATGGTACAATTTTGATAAGCGTTCTCTGTCGCGTCGGCGTAAACTTACGTGGTACTACTAGAACGTCTCTGTTCTTCTCTCTATTGTCAGCCCTGTGTCCGCCGGCGCAATCACCGATCGTAAAACGCGGCGTTTGCTTACAAATTTGCTGATATTCCCGTTGATACTCGTTCATCTTAGTTATTGGATTTTTTACACTCTTTTGCTTCAGACGTAGCGACAGCTCCGAAACCGGAAACCACGAGGCACCGCACACCACGAATTCCTCTAGCGTGTCGTATACGAATTTGTACTGCTCCTGGCAGTAAACGAAAAGCAATCGTCAACATATTTGCGATACTTTCAATCGCAGTCACGTCCAACTCTCTCTCTCGTCTCCTCTTCGAATCGCAATAAAAAGGGACGCGATAAGAATCGATTCGCGAAATTTACCAAGTTCTCGATAAGTCCTCTTCTACTTTGCCGCAACTTTTTCAAGTAGCCAAATACGTCGAAAGCGTCTTCCTCTTCCGACAGCTCCATGTTTGCGTCTATCGCGAGATACACTCCGGATCTTCCACCACCGTCGCTTTTTTTAACAAAGTACGTACGTATATATCGTTTGAATCGATTCGAAATAATTTCTAAGTTTCTTTGGGAGATACTTACTTGCAATGGACGACCATGGGACCGGATTCGTTCTTTATGGTGGACCCGACTACAGCCCTGACTCGTCGACGAAATTCCAAGACCGCGTTTCCGAACGGACACGTGTGCGAATGCCACTCGGTGTAATGGAATTGTAACAACGTTCTTTCTTCCGTTACTTCCTGCAATTGCACGCGAACACGGTCGTGTTACGATTTTCAAGTATAATTTTCAACGTAATCGCAGCAATTTCCTGTCCATGCGCGGATAAATTTTCGTTCAGTTTCTTAGAATGATTCCAATTCTATCGCTACATGTACTTGGAGAGAATTATCACGTGTAACCAACTGCAGCCTCAAAAATGAAGTTGTTAAAGTTAAACTGCTTGAGCGAGAGTTTGTCGTTTTGCATAAAGGAACGTTGCATCTACGATGAATCGCTTTCATGTATCCGATGCTTTAACAGTCTTGCTCGACGCGACGCGATGGTCTCTTCCCGTTTAACTGCCACGAAAGATGTACCTTAACGAGCGCAACTTCTGTTGCGCGTTATGCTTTGCACTTTGCTTTTCAAAATCTCGCAACGCATCGTCGACGATCTCTGTAAAGATCTTGTTTGAGTTTTCTATAGTCATTTTGCCTGTACTGACGCGCGTACAGCTAAGGAACTGTCTACAGAGACATTCGAGACGCAGTTTATAGCGTTTCACGTACATTTAGTCTTACTTGTAAACCTATGGTACATCGTTCGTTCGAATCGTTTTCTACTATCCTTTGCAATTTAAGAGGTATCTAGTCGTAAATAAAACGAGCGAATTCGATACAAGTGGAAAGCGACGATACGGGGCATAGTTCTTAGGTTCGATTAAAGAGCATAGGTGCAAAGTTTCATCAAAGTCATCGTCTGACAGTTGACCAAGTTCCCTTACGAGCCATTGTCTATGTGCCCGCTTGTAATCTTCAAACGTGGTCAAAGACGTGCACAGCCCGAGTTACCTAACGGTATACAGGGTGAATCACGCTGTTCGAGTGGTTGCATACATGTACTCGCTTTCTTACAATTGATTCAAGTAACTATACTTTGAAGAAAAATTATAAAGAACAACGCAGAAAATACTTGTTACGCGATCATAAAATACACGAAATCTGATAAATGGTTTCTTTTGAGAAAATTTGTGTAGAGTAGTCAATATACATACTAGAGTAGGTGCTAAAGCAAAGAAACAATCGCGATGGAATTCGAGAGATCTTCCTATTTTCATTCCATTTCCAGGCCGTTGATAAAATTAAGTCTTACGTAACTGCTGTTTGAGTAAACTCATCGTCTCCTCGGTTTCTATCTCTCATCCGTATCGTTTCGCATTCACCCAGTTTCGAAACGACCAAACTAGTACGGACTACTTCCCCTATAATTAATTCCGTCAACTTTTTGCCAACTCTCGCGATACCTCCTGTTCTTTCATTCCCGAATTCAGTCTTGCTGGAACCTTAGCGGAATCTACTTGTAGTTTGCGACCAAAGTTTCGAGTTCCCGCAGGTTACTACCAGCTGCCCGAGACTTTCTTACCGTGCTGGAAATTACCGCGCTATCCTTCCTATAATATGGATGAAAATTTCCCTCATCGATTATCGTATTTTCGAATTTTGCCGTTTCTTTATCGTCGTTTGATCGCATCGGCCGCGCCGACACGAATCTGTGGAATACGGTACAAGAGGAAGTACACTCACGTCGCTCTCGTTCTTCTTGTAGAGCCTTATCGTTCGTATGTGGAAATTGGCGAGTTCCTCCTCCTTCAGCACGGAAACTCCGATGCCTCCGTACTCTTCGTCCTTGTCTTTGCTCGCCGGCCAATATTGGACGCACATCACCTGAAATCGATTCGAACGGCGCGGCGCGGCGCGGCGCTCGTTATCATTCGATAGATGCGAATACTCGGTAAGAAAATAGCTTACACGTGTTCGAGGATCGATGAAACGCGAATACACGCGGGAAACGTTCGAGCGAGCGTAAATCTATGGAAACGAATGCGCAGCGCTATGCGATAAAGTCGGCGAATAATAAAACTCGACGTTTCGATACCGTTCGAAATCAAAACGAAAGCTGGCGAATATTTATGCGTTTGGAACGTCGAATAAAATTGTATAACATTTGCACGCCTACGTGAATATCCGCGTGTCTGCAGTCCGTTAGTCAGACAAATTTTTACGACATTTCTTACCTTGATGAAATCGAAAGTCTTCGTAAGCATGACGATACAACAAGCTCTCTCTTGCCACACCATGCGCCAAAATTCCGTCACGGTGTTTTCCATAGGTCCCTGTGTCACGATGTAAGCGTTCGGTTTCAATATACTCTGAAATATAATGACAACATTGATCGAGGACTCGGCCGGCGTCATGACATTAAAAGAAACTTTTCGCGCTTCGGGACCATCGAGAAAACAGTTCGGCACTCTATTTTAAGAAACGTGATTATGGATTATTCAAAATCTCTGACGCGAAATCGCTCTCGAAAGCTGATATTACCGGCAGCCTTGATCTTGATCCGAGCATCAATATGCTACAGTCTATAGAATCGGTTTACTTCGGAAGATAACTTCGTCGTTCAAGTATGTGCATTCTGCACGCGCTCGATTCTCCTAACATTTATCGACGCGATCGTTTAAAAAATGACGACGGTTTTTAGATTGCCAATCTTTTAGTTCTCCTTGGGTCAATTATGTTCTACTCACATCTACATAAGATGCGTTAACGTAATCGGAATCAGGTTCGCCTTCTATCGTATCCAAGACCACCCTGTTGTAGTCATCTGTGGATTGGGAAACAATTTATTGTTGCTGTTTATATTACAACCAATGAAACCTTTCGGTTAAATCAATTTTCCAACAGCTAAACCTCTCGTTATAATATTAAATATTAATTTTGCCTGTGAACCGATACGTTTGTTAATACGATTCTGCATTTAATTCAAATATAACGAAGCAGAGAAACTCTAAACTCGTACAACGGTACGCGATGTCGAAGGATTAATTACGCGCAAAGTATCGGCGTAA